CACCAAAGAATTAGAGGAAAGTTGTGTGTTTCATTGGTGCTATACTGCACCCTAACTGGCTCATCTATTCCCTGTGACCCCTCTGTGCAGGGATGTCCAATTGTCTACAGATGGGCATTGGGTCTCCACGCCATCCCAACCCCATTCACCTTGGGTATGGTTTTATTCTGGGTCTTAAATGCCTGATAACTGATCCCATCAACACCTCATGATTACACAGGCTGGTATACTTCTTCCATGTGAGCTTTGTTGCTTCTGAGCTAGATGGCCCCTTGTTTATCTTCTAACCTTAAAGACCCTTGATGCTATATCATTTGATAGCCGGGCACCATCAGCTTTCTTCGCCACATTTGCTTATGCACCCATTTGAACAATTTATTACTTATTGCTACTTATTCATTTTAAAATAATGAACTTTTGAGGAAAAAATTGTAGCTGCAAAAAAAAAATGTAGCAGCATGTAGTTAAATTTTGGGGTTTTTCACTGTGGTAATAGGTAAGGAACTTAAAATGTCTCCCCAAAAGATGAAACTCAGAATGCAAAAACTTCATGAATAAGGTAGCTGTAGAACATTCATGAAAAAATTGAATTTATGAACAATGGAATTTTTCCGCAAATGTTTTAACGCCACCTTGTATTTCAATTTTATTAGGTTTATTTTCAACTTTCGAATAGCTGCTTAGCAGAATAGAAATGTGTGTTGTTCTTTAAGAACCTCCATACAGTACTATTTTGAATGGGGTTTGGATATTAGAGATGTACCACCACTGTGTATTCTGATATTTGACTACACTAATTATGTTATATATGGCAATTAAATCTTTGCCATTTAAATAATCCTTTGTTTCATGAGGCTAAGAGGATGGGGCGGGGGAGGACCTATCACAAAGTTGGATATTGGCCACCCCCCAAGGTGATGAACAGCATTAATGTGGGTGAAGAGAAACAATGAACAGTGTAAGACATGAAATAACAATAAAAATATATCATTGATTAAGGAGTCACAAGGGTGGGAGGATAGGGAAAATAGAGGAGCTGATACCAAGGGCTCAAGTAGAAAGAAAGCATTTTAGAAATGTTGATGGCAATATATGTACAAGTGTGCTTAATACATTTGAATGATGGATTGTCATAAGATTTGTAAAAGCCCCTCACTAAAATAATTAATAAATAAAAATTTAAAATAATACTCCTTTGTTAATAAAAATAATACTGTTGACATTTCGCTACAGTCATAAGAACCTTAAGGTAGACTGCAGGACTTGAAATTGTAAAGGTTCACACATACATGTTATTTTTCCTTTTTTGTTTTACGAAAAAAGGTTGTAAATATAGTATATGCTGTTGATAAAGAATGTAAGCAATAGAGAGAAATATAATGGGCAAAGATGGAGGCAGAGAAAGATAGAAACCTCACTTCCCAGAAATACACATAATAACATTAATGGCTACTACTGGACTTATTTTTTCATATCTAAAAATTCCTTTTTTTAAATTATAAATAATTCAGACATTAAAAATGTGTAATACCATTTTATACTTACAGCCTTGGAAACCCATGGAGGTAGTTCTGCTCTGTCCTATAAGGTCACTATAAGTCAGAGCCAACACAGTGGCAGTGAATTGTATGCTATTTTCTGTTTTATTTTATTTTATTTGGTTTGGCTTTAACCAGTTACAAAATGGATACAATTCTTTTATCTTCAGTGTTGCTTCTCAGACATGTTGGCAGCCATATCTCTCTGGTCCTCAGCCTGCCAGCCACATGGTCCTCTGACCTCTGCAGGTCAGCCCACTTACTGCTATGCTTCACGGTCTTGGTCTGCTGCTCTGCTCTGCTTCATGGTCTTGGTGGTACAGCCTGTCTGCCTCCACCACTTCAGCCAGGGATCTTGCATGTGCCCCGCTGGTGGCTTTTCATCCCTGATGGTCATGGGATTTCCTGTT